CTGCTGCGATTGGTCGCGCCGGAGGGAGGGGTGACGAAGCCACGCCCCGCGCCCTATTTCCCGCCCCGCGCTTTATTTCCCGCCCCGCTCTCCATTTCCCGGGCTCTGCGTAAAGCCCCGCTTAACAAAACTGCGTTCCCCGCTTGCTCGCCTATTTCTAAGGGGAGCGAGCCAGCAGCCGTTCCTAGAGCCCGAATTTTCCCCTCCTCAGGGAGGTGGAGATGGTGCAAAGAGGGGGTTTTGGGGAAAGGAGCCCCCCAAACCCCGCTCCCTCCAGGCGCAGATCCGGGGTGCCGCCTTGTCCCCGCAGCCACGGGAGGAGGACCGTGGGGCAAGGATCAGGCCCGAGCCCGCAGCCGTACAGAACAGCGGGGTTTATTATTCCTACAGCGCCCTAGGAAAGCCACACACACAGTTTCTGCGGCCAGAGCAGCTTGTTCTGCTCTCAGGTGCCAAATTTCTTCTGTTGGATGGGCAGGGGCAGTTGGGTCTTGATGTCCATGATGGGCCGCTCCACCATCACGAGGCAGTTCTCGTCCAGCAGATCTGCGTAGAGCAGGGGCTGCGGGGCAGGGAGGGGGCAGGAGCTGAGGACGCGGTGCCAGCCCCCCTCTGCCCGGCCTTGCCACGCAGAGCTGCCCTGCAGCCGGCTCCGGCGCAGCCGTAACCAGGGGCGCTGAGCGGGAGCCCACCAGATCGCAGCAAGCGGCTGCGCCGTGACGGGGATGGAGACGGAGCTCTGCTCTGCCCCTTGGGTGCTGATACGGCACCGGGAGCGACTGGGCACAAGAGCCGGTGCAGCCACAGGGACCACGGGCACAGGGCAGCCCCCCGGCACCCCCTCCTCAACACGGCACGTGCCCAGTGCCGCTGCCACCCACCTGGAACTTCTTGCAGATCTTGAAGGCGTGGAGCTGCCGCTGCCTGGCGGTCTCCGGGAGCTGCTTCAGGGTGCTCTGGTTCATCAGGAGGGCACTGTTGTCTGGCAAGGGCTGTGAGGAGAGCGCACGGCAAGCATCAGTGCCGCCCGGACCCGCGCACCCCTCCCTCCGCTCCCAGCAGGGACGGCCGGGCAGGGGAGATGCCCTGGGCACAAAGCCAGCCCTCCCGACGGGGCACGCGGGCTCACCAGGGACTTGTCAAGGACGCAGAACATGTAGATGTCGTGGAGCAGGATGTGTGAGGGGTTCTTGGGGTTGAAGGTGATGTGGGTGATGGGCGAGTCCCTCTCCAGCCAGACCTTGTGCAGCCCGCAGTTCTGCACCATGCGGCTCCAGGTCGTGTACTGCTTCGTGGGGATGCTGAACTCGAACAGCTGGAGAGGCAGGAGAGGGGAGGCGGGGTGGCTCGCGAGGTCCGGTCCTCCCCAGCATCACCCTCGCGCCGGTGCACGGGCAGCCCCCGCTCCGGCCAGGCCGCGAGCGCTGCGTGGGGACAGGCTCCTGCCAGGGGCAGCAAAGGGCAGCAAAGGGCAGCCGCGTCCCTGCGCCTGCCCGGAGCCACGGCTCTCCTGCGGCCAGACAGCCCTGAGGCCGGGGGCGGGTAGCCACAGGGAAGGGGCCAGGGCAACGAGGGCTGCGACCGACCGGGAGGGCTCCTACCTGCTGGTCCGAGTAGGCGATAACGAGGTTGTTGGTGACCGGGTGGATGGCGAGGGCCGTCACCGCGCAGCTGTACATGGGCACCGTGCAGTGATGCTGCGAGGCAGGAGAACAGGATGCTGAGGGGAGCAACCGGGGCCGCCTCCGACCCAACCACCCCCTTCCCACACCCCCAGCCCTGCTCCGGGGACGCAGCCATCGCTTCCAGGGAGGGGTCCCAGGCACTGAGCCCACCCTCACCCGCCCCCCAAGGCAGGAGGGCAGCGGGGGTTCTTCCTGCAGCACCCTCCGGCACCTGCCCCTACCTTGAAGCATTTCAGGTTGTAGATGTGAATTGCCCAGTCCCCGCCGACTGCGGCCAGCCAGTGCCCATCCGCGCTCGACGCCAGCAGGTAAACGGCCTCGGGGGACCCTGCAGAAACACCTTCGCTGGCTGTAACGGGCGCTGGGGCCTGCGAGGCACGAGGAGCCCCAGACCCAACCCCAGGAGATGCCTGGACCTGCATCCCCCCCTGCCAATCTGGGTGACCCGCCCCCCTGCCTGCGTCAGGCCACGAGGGCAGCACAAACACAGGCTGCAGGCTGCCGGGGGGGAAAGGACCCCCACGCCTCAGGGCAGGAAAGGGGGGACACGCGCGGCCCTGCACACCCCTCTGTGCCCGCAGCAGGGATGGGACTCAGAGCCCGGGAACCCCCCAGGACCCCCCAGCCCGAACCTGAGGGTGGCCGAAACGTGTGCAGGTGTTTGCAGCCCCCCGGCTCCAGCAGCTGGAGGTCGTGGACAGAGCCTCGAGCGGAGGCAACGAAGAGGCTGTCGGAGTCGGAGGAGAACTGGAGCTGGTAGGCTGGGAGCAGCAGCTTGGGCACTTTGGGGACCTTGAAAGGGGGAGAAAGCAGCGCTGGCAGCCACCTACCGCTGCCGCCCTCACTCCCCGTGAGCAATGCTGGCTGTGCCAGCCCCCCGGGACCCCACAGCCACCCACCGCCCCTCCCTGGCAGCGGGGCAGCCCCTCACCCTCCTCACCTTCTTGACACTGACACTGTCACCCTCGTATTGCACTCGGTAGAGGTGGAAGCGGGAGGCCGTGGAGTAGGCGACCCAGCTGCCGCACGGCGAGACGGAACTGCAGTAGATGTGCTCCGGGCCCTGGAAAGGCAGAGGGGCTGAGTGGGGCCCGCCAGATCCCCCGGCAGCCTCGCACACGCAGCTCAGCCGTCAGAGGGAGAGCAGAGGCTGGGGCGGGGCAGGCACCAGGGTGGACCACGGCCCTCGCTCAGCCCTACCTTGCTCTTGAGCTGCACGAGGTGCTCGGGCATGCGGCACAAGGGAAGGACCTCGCCATCCTTTCCTGGGGCGACAAGAAACCACGCGGCACATCGGTGACGGTGGGGAAACCGCACGGGTGAAGCAGCTGGGCATCGCGGGGCAGCAGCGCCCGAGGGAGAGCCCAGATCCTTCCCCAGCCTCCCCCAGGGCTGAGCTCCCCAGGGCCTGGCCCAGCTCCACGGGAAGCACGAGCACAGCCTCACACCGGCCGTGCAGCCCGTGCCCAGGCACACACCGCGCTGGGAAAGGCAGCCCTGCCTGTGGCCGTCCTGCCAGCGCAGGGCTGTGGGGAGGAAGGGGCCCGGGCTAAACCACCCCTCCGCTGCCCAAGCAGCAGGACAGTTCATGCCCGAAACCCCGCAGACAGCGCGGGCTCTGCCGCAGGGCTTGCACCGGAGAGCTGGGCCTTGCAACTCACCGGTCTCTTCGGTGGAGCCAAGTCTCCAGAGCTCCAGGTGCTGGGAGAACTGGAAGAGGAGCAGCCGGGCTTTCCTGGCACAGGAGACGAGGCGTCGCTGTGTGCAGAAACGGGCAGACTGACATGAACCCGCAGCCTGGCAGAAAGGGCTGGGCCAAAGCCGAAACGCCCTGGGGTGCCAGAGACTCCCGGGGCGGGGGAGAGGAAGGACTGGGTCCCGTGGGATGGGAGCCCAGAGATGGAGACCCAGCAGGACCAGCAAGACGAGCTTGCCAACTTCTACTCCCTCACCCGCTCTGTGGCAGGAGCCTTCAGACACGCCAGGGCCAGGGAAGGGGCCCAGCAGGGCAGGGAACGCCAGCCTTCTCCCGCAGGAAGAGCCAGCCCTGCCAGCCTGCCTTGCCAGGCGTGAAACCCTGCTCAGAGCAGCACTCACGTGAGGGAAGGTGAATTTGCGGAGCGCTGCGTCGTAGCCCTTCTTCTGCATCTTCTCCATCAGCGGGCGGATCACCAGCTGGGCGTCCAGGCCTGGAAGCCAAGCAGAGGTCAGCCAAAGCGGTACCAGGGGAGAGACCCAAGCCCTCCTCGTGACGGCGCCCAGTCCTACCCCCGGAGATGAGAGCCGTCGAGCTGTGCGCCACAGCTCGCACGTCGTGGGTGTGATGCTGGAAGGGCTTCGTCCGCACCCACCGCTTCTCCAGGCTGCCCATCTTCACCGGCAGCAGCTGAAACTGGTAGGTGGCCCCTGTCGAGGTGCCCACGACGATGCTGTCCTCTTTCTGGTGAGAGAAACGGGGACGGGGTTTGCGGGTGCAGACCGGGAAGAGCGAGAGGGCAGCGCCAGGAGGCAGGCAGGGACCGGCAGCCTCCCTCCCCCAGGCAGGGCCCGGCAGCCTCGCTCCCAGCCCTGCTCCTGCTGCCCCAAAGGCACCAAGCCAGGCAGCTCTTGCCCAAGCGCCTCCAGCCCAGCCCACGGGAGCCCAGATGGGTCCCAGCTGCCTGGGGGGACCCGGGGGGGACTCGCCTACCTCCGACACAGCCAGCGAGAGGACAGCCGAGGTGCTGACGGTGTGGGACTCCAGCAGCGTCCCTCGCTCCCAGTCCCAGAACTGCACCCTCCCGAAGGAGTCCGAGGTGACGACGGTGCCGCTTGAGAGGAAGGCGATGCTCCACACGATGCACTCGCGCTTCACCTTCTGCACGTGGTAGTTCACCATGATCCTCTGGACAGTTCGGCCTGAGGGGCGGGAAGGACAGTGGGGGGTGGCAAGGGGATCCCCCCAAGCACGGGGTGGGCCGGGGCCGACGGTCCCCGGGGCGGGGGACAGGGGACAGGCCGGGCTCGCCTCCCGCGGCTGGAGTTACCTGAACAGCCGTCGAACACGCAGAGGCCATCGATAGACCCGG